TAATTTCAGCATGACCCAAAGAGCTGTGTCTGAAAGAACTGTGATAAAACCTCATATTTTTGCATTCACATGACTAATAAAATTGTTTTATACGTGTTTATGTCAATGTATTGTAGCTGTTGTCATGTCACAAGCCCATGACCCTGTGCTCTACGAACGTTGAAAGTTTCACGTTGCTTTCTAAAAATATATGTACAAAACAAGGCTGAGGCAACATCTGAAACCCACTACCATTCATTACCTACACATTGCGTCACAGCCCGGCTCTAATGGGGATCACTGGCCTCACTGGTTCAGATCTGCCTTGAGTGTTTATTCTGGGGGCATTTTGAACAGTGGCAGAGGGAAAACCTTAAACGGTTCCATGTGAGTATAAGTCTATGCATCTGTATGTGTGTGTGTGTGTGTGTGTGTGTGTGTGGCTGGGTGTGCCTGACGTGTGGAAACAGTAGGGCCCCTGTTTCTCCTGGGTTTGGCCCAACAACAGTTAAGTTCTGAACGTCACACTCGCCTCAGTAACTCACAGGACACACTGGAACTATTCTTGGGGCACCGGTGACATAATGGACCATCTCAGACAGGCACACGCCCTCCCTACGTATCTCACAACGGGCAGCAAGAACACAGTCAGCATCCAAAGCGTTGCATAGGCAGGAGTGCAGCTGCAGGTCCAGAGAAGTGCAGACTTCACAGGTTTAATCCCCTTTAAACAAACTTACTTTTTATTCAACACAATCAGCAGTGTACCTTTTATTTTTAGCTCTGTTTATTTGTTCAGCAGTAGTGTTTTATGATAAAGATACTCTGTGTGTGGTCAACAACTATTGGATGTATTGTGGATAGATGGATTGAAATTTGGTAGAGATATTCATGGAAGCCAAAGGATGAACCCTACTGACTTCGGTGATTCCCTTATTTTTCTTGTAGCGCCACCATGAGGTTGACATATAAGGTTCAGAGCAAAGACTGTATAAGACAATGAACGTAGCCAACTTTTGAATTTTGGAGCCAGAAGTGACATGTTCGGACAAGAGGTTGGAGCTAACCATAACGTTAGCTGCTAGCTTGGTTAGCACGGTGCATTCACAGCTATAGTTAAATGTGATAATGCTAGTTTTTGCAAGGGAAAATCCAACCCGGTCTCACTTCAAAGTCGTCAAAATCCAGCACCCAGGCAGTGACTTGCGGCTTCAGACACTGCGCGGCTGGTCGCTGTTATAGTTTAACGGCACTCAGCAGTGTCAGGGGGAAATGCAGCGGGACAAGAGCGAAAGTTAAGGTGGTGAAAGTACGAATAGCGCGGGCAGGAGGGTGGAGGATGGGTCCATCAAACACCAACGTTCACCCGGGAGAGCAGTGTTCATGTCACGTAAGATTATAACGCCAAACGCTGTTCTTTTTTCCTGAACCTAACCACGTGTTTTTGTTTTTGTAGGAGAAAAAAGGTCAATTTGCGTTGTTGTACTGACATAGTGCGTTTATTTTGAAAGAGGCTGTATGTAAAGGGTAAATTTCCTGAAAGAAGACAATGCAGACTTCAGAAAGTCAACAACCAACGCACCAGGGTACTTTGCACGTCGTATCTGGACGTGAAAGGTCCATGACCAAACGTCGATATTTCATGTCGATAGGTCGGAGTGAGAATGTGTTGGAAAATCAGGCTTATGTTGTGTTCAAACTACGAGCAACAGCACAACAGCGTGACCAGCTACGTTATCGCCAAGTTGCCAATAAAGTGTTGCTCAAGTGCTACTTAATGTAATTATGCCGTCACAGGTTTGTGTGGTCTGCTACATACCACAAAGCACCTCAGCTGAACGTCATCTAAAGATTGTATCTGGTCAAAAAAATATCTACGCTTTTGATCAATGCCTGAGCCCCATTTTAACGTAGCATTTCGCCGCCTCATTGCATCCCTGTTTGGGCTAGCACATAAGGCTAGCATAGTGCAAGCTAATTAAGCTAAATACAACTAGACACAAAAAGACAGGATTGTTGGTGCCAACTCAACTTTGATTTCACGCCTGTCCACAGCAACAAGTGTCAGGCATTCGTATGTAGCTTTATGTCGACGGCTTCCACTGGGAATGACTTGTAACCTGTTGCTGTGTCACTCGTGGTGTGAATACAGCATTAAATCCATTAACACAAAATGTATTGAACTGAAAAACTGCATATTCAACTCCTTAGAGGAACTTTTAGTACAACTAAAGACTTTTTTAGGCAACCAAATCATCATTTATAAGTACAAGTCCCTCTGAATCAGAGAGCAAAGTGTTTTTTTTTAGACTAAACAATCGGCCACAAAACATTATTATCAGTGGGTGTGGGCTCTTTTACAGACACACCCAATTGTTCAGAAACTAATTAGCAGCCATTAATTCAAAAGTCTTGACTGCTACTTTTGACTGAAACCAACCAAGTTTCAGATTCTCTCAGGAAACTATTACAAGTCATTGTGGGGAAACAAAGACTGCTCTGAAATCTCTGACTGCAGTAAGAGGCAGGGTGAAGGGAAATGGTCACATTACGAACACCTCATGACAAAAACAGTTCCTTGGATGCCAAACGCAGTTCACAGTTGAGCTGCTAGGAAATTTGGGGATTTCAGGGAGAACAAAATCACACTGTGTACCACTGACGAAGCAGAGGCAAATTGCAGAGAGAGGGAAAATGAATCGCTGGCTAATGAGATTAGCTTGAAATTCACACCAAATACAGAAAATAACTGACCAGCCCTGAAGGTTACTACAACTGTAGTGAAGCAGAGAATCCTGAAGATCAGGGGCGTTGTTTTAAGAATCAGGTTTACTGAGTCATTTCATTTCCTAGAACAGTTTCCATTATTTTCACAGGGTTCAGTTCTCGTAAGCATACTGTGCCTTGAGAAGCTGAACAGGGATGTAAAACTGCTATTGTTGGAAGCAGGGCAAACACAGAAAATTGAGGAAGTACATTGACATGATATATGCTCCCACCCATCCGTGGTAGAAATGTTTTTATGCCCAGTTCCCTTTCTCTGAACTGCTGTACATCAAATATCAGTGGCATTTACTGATTTATATCTGCAGTAGCGAGGCTCGTCAACAATGAAGGCAGCTATCTCTGAGTCCCACTAAAACAAAAGGTACGCCACAGTCTGTCCCTGGCACCATTACAACTACTGATATAACAAGAATGAACTTTTGCCTTCATATGATAATCACCTGGACTGTCAATCACTTGTTAGCTAGCTATGGTGCTAGCATGCCAAAAATAACATTCCCATCAGCTGTATTTGTGTTCTATGCTAAGTGGCTAAAATTAGCATGCTAACATGCTAAACCAAGGTGGTGACCTTTATACCATTATTGTACCTGCTAAACATTAGCTTTACCACTGTTACCATGCTAACATTAGTAGCTATAAGGGCAGCCTCTCACAGCTGCTAGCATGGCTATCACTTTTTTGCTAGTTTTGTTAAATATCTACACTACTGAACAAATTAAAAGTCAACTCAGAATATGTTTCCCCAAATATAAAAAGTGAATTATAATTTTAAACATCTTATTTACATTTTTACAGCACACAATGTAGGCTATCATCACCATTTTGGTAGTAAATAGAGTGGTGCAGGAATGAGTCCCCAAACATGGAAATGAGCTAGCCAATCAGTTAGCATTTTAGCTCTCCTGGCTCCTTCATCTAAAAGTCAATGGGTTTTTTCTCCACGCTGGCGATGGCCATGACCGGAGGCATTATGTTTTCGGGTTGTTTATCCGTCCCATTCTTGTGAAAGCAATATGTCAAGAACTACTCAAGAGAATTTCTTCAAACCTAGCACAAACATCCACTTGGACTCAATGATGAACTGATTTGATTTGGTTTTCATAGGTCAATGTCACTGTTACCTCAACTGTCTCATTCATGTGAACCCAATAAAGGGTTCACTGTAAAGGCAGTTTTTCAAAATTGGCACAAACATCCACGAAGAGTCAGTGATGAACTGATTAGATTTTGGTGTTCAAAGGTCAAGGTGACAGTAACCTTATGTCTGTCTAATTTTTGTGATTATCTCAAGAACACCTTGAGGGAGTTTCCTCAAATGTCGCACAAAAACGTCCATTTGGACTCAAGAATAAACTGTTTAAATTTGGTGGCTGTAGGTCAAGGTCACTGTGACCTCACAGAATATGTTTTTTGGCTATCACTCAAGAATTCATACACTAATCATGACAAAATTTCACATAAATGTCTAATAGGATAAAATGATGAAGTGATGCTGTTTTATATCCAAAAGGTCAACTGTGACGTCATAATGTTGTGCAAAAACATTTTTCTGGCAATTACTCACCATCAGAAGGGGAGACATTTGGTCAGATACTGAACTGGTGACACTAATCTTGAGTGTCCACCTTAATGTGTTACCCCTGGACATTTTTGTCCATTTCCAAAATTCAAAACTCCCTCACAGACAAATTAAAAGGTCACAGGGGGGTGATTTTTTGCATGGGG